GCTATAGGCGCCGAGCCACAGTTTGCAGAATTTCTAAAGAAGACACTCTGATTGGTTTGAGGCTGTAAATTTTATAGATGCAAAATTTGGGGATAATCTTAAAGCTAGCCTCCCTGAAGCCAGAACTCAGTCCAGCATTTCTATCACAATAAAAACCTAACCTAATTGGTTTTCTAACTCTACTTAATTAGAACAATATTGAGTCAAAATATTTCTCTAGCTAAACTTGGTATAAATTAGCACAATTGAATTTGCATCACTATTTATAACAGTTCCAAAGTAGATTAACACTTCTTTAAAAACAAATTTTCAGTGATAAAAAAATACAATGATATAACTTTTAGAAAAAGGAGACAGGACAAAAAAAGTCATCCAAAATGCAAAATTCATAATTCTTAATAAAATTTTTATATATTATCTTTTTCCAAAAATAAACATTCAACACAAATTTAATAACCTCTAAATAATTCTGTAATTACAAAAACATTCACTTACTTGCCCTCTGCCAGGATTTTCCTTTGGAACAAGCAGAGATACCACTGGTCCGTATTTTTGACATTCCTCTTTTACATCTTCTACAACATCTGGTAATTACAACACATGACAGTAACTGATATGATCAATAAGCATTCAATATTTAAAAATTTTAAATCATCAAAGAATTCATGAATACATACTATAAGGTCATTTTCCATATATTCTAAAATTAAGCTTTATGAATATAAATTCAATGCATTTAATAATTTTCTTTTTATATTTTAAATTTAGTGTTTTGAAGAGGTGACACATTCCAATAATTCAAAATTTTAAAAACTGAAGTATTCTTCACATCTCCCCAACTGCCCTTCCATTCTCCTTTTTGAAGGCAACAAACATGATCAGTCTCTTCTGTGTTCTGCCAGAATTACAACATATTCAAGCAAATATGGTTACATGTGCTGTGAGTAAAAAAAGCTAATTTTGCCTTTTCTTTATTGAACGATATTATCTTGAAGATGTTTCCATATCATTATATAAAATTTTCTCATTTGTTTTTATGATTGTGAAGTATGTTACTCTATGCATGTTTAATAAACTAGTATGTCCTTTACATAATTAAACTATTTCCAAATTGTTTGCTATTACAAACAATACTGTAATAGACGATAGGTGCATAGCTCCATGCACTTGTGTGTGTCTAAGCTGAGATTCTAGAAATAGAATTGCTACATCAAAATTGACATGAAATTGTAATTTTGTTAGAATTACCAACTTGCTTTTTTCATAAAGGTTTACCAATGTAAACTGTGTCCAGAGAAGTATGAGAACATCTGTGTTCCTGCACCCTTACCCACAGGAGGATTATCATTAATAAATGTTTTCATCACTGGTAATTAATGGATAACAAAGATATTGCAGTTTGGTTTTAATCAGCATTTCAATAATAAACGAATCTGAAAATGTGTGAAGTGCATTTGTACTTTCTTTCCTACAAATTGTATTAACAGCTGTAAACATTTTTTCTTAACTTATTATTTGCCTTTTGATCTTTCTTAGGATAGTTTATGTCAAGGTAGAATTTGTTGGATTTTATTGCTTCTTAGTTTTGTGTCATATATGAGAAAGGCCTTTCCTACTCTAAGAATATTAAAAAATAAAATTTCCAATAATTTTTAAATTAAAAAAATTCTTTCCTTCCCTCCTGCCCTATTTCCTTCCTTCCCTCATCCCCTTTCTTTTCTTTCCATATGTCACTCCCTCACTTTCTTTTCTTTTTTTT